AGTATTAGTAATATTAATATTAATAAGTATATAGTATTAATTAATGTTAACATTGGTATTGGTATTGGTGTTGGTGTTGGTGTTGGTATTGTAATGGCAGCACTATTAGTATTAATATTATTTGATTAATTAGGGTAATTAGGAGGGGTGAGATACAGCTGGGGTCATTTATGTAGTACTATTAATGTTAATAAGTATATAGTATTAATTAATGTTAAACTTGGTATTGGTATTGGTATTGGTGTTGGTATTGGTATTGGTGTTGGTGTTGGTAATGGCGGCACTATTAGTATTAATATTATTTGATTAATTAGGGTAATTAATAGGGGTGAGATACAGCTGGGGTCATTTATGTAGTACTATTAATGTTAATAAGTATATAGTATTAATTAATGTTAAACTTGGTATTGGTATTGGTGTTGGTGTTGGTATTGGTATTGGTGTTAGTATTGTAATGGCAGCACTATTAGTATTAATATTATTTGATTAATTAGGGTAATTAATAGGGGTGAGATAGAGCTGTAGTCATTCATGTAGTATTAGTATCATTAATGTTAATATTAATAAGTATATAGTATTAATTAATGTTAAACTTGGTATTGGTATTGGTATTGGTATTGGTATTGCCAGCACTATTTGTATTAATATTATTTGATTAATTAGGGTAATTAATAGGGGTGAGATACAGCTGGGGTCATTTATGTAGTATTAGTATTATTAATATTAATAAGTATATAGTATTAATTAATGTTAACATTGGTATTGGTATTGGTATTGGTGTTGGTAATGCCAGCACTATTAGTATTAATATTATTAGATTAATTAGGGTAATTAATAGGCGTGAGATAGAGCTGGGGTCATTTATGTAGTATTAGTAATATTAATATTCATAAGTATACAGTATTAATTAATGTTAGAATTGGTATTGGTATTGGTATTGGTATTGGTGTTGGTATTGGTATTGGTATTGGTGTTGGTGTTGGTAATGCCAGCACTATTAGTATTAATATTATTTGATTAATTAGGGTAATTAATAGGGGTGAGATAGAACTGGAGTAATTTATGTAGTATTATTATTAATAATAATAATAATATTAATATAATATTAATATTAAGATAATTAATTATATATATGATGAATTACTATTACTATTAAGATAATTAATTATATATATGATGAATTAATGTTAATATTGACATTAATAATAATATTGACAATAATAATACTGACATTAATAATAATATTGACATTAATATTAATATTAATATTAATATTAATATTGATATTAATATTGATATTAATATTGATATTAATATAGTTAATTATATATTATTTATTAATAGTGGTAATTATATTAACATTAATATTAATATTAATATCGGTATTGTGTTGACAGCACTATTATTACTAATATTATTAGATTAATTAGGCTAATTAATAGGGGGAGATAGAGCTGGAGTCATTTATGTAATAGGGGTAGTATTAATATCATTATTAATTAATGTTCATATTAGTATTGGAGTGTA